GATGATGCTGGATGCAGATTACACCAATATTGGGTATATTTACAGATGATGATCAACAGTCGATGCAAAAGTGTTAAAATTGTGTGGCTGCTAAAAGAAACAAGAACAGAGTTGTGGTTCCTATTATTATTTTGTGCTTAGAGGCAAGGAGAAACTCTATGTAAAGAGAAGTTTTCTTCTCAGATCACTTCAGGGCATCAAGCATTTCTTCAGCATGGGATATAATGGGAAGAAGACTGCGGCCTATGCTCGAGTACCCGTTTTACTGCTTAACTGTAGTATGATAAACTGATAATGAATGAACAGAGAATATAATAAGGAAATAAATAATTTCACATCCATGATTTTATAATGCTTTGTGCTTCTTTTTGATGTCTTGGTATTCTAATTTGACACCACCTATCATTATTTCACTTAATTTTTAAATATAAATTCATATATTACAACAATACATAAGCCAACAAACCAAATGTATATATATCCCTTTGTGATCATATTAAAGTATATCTGATGGTCACCAATTCATCAAATACAAGCAAACCAATCACAAAAAATAAAATAAAATGACAAAATGGAAGCTGATGGGCAAACTCATTGATATTGGGATTCCTTAGCTTCTTTCTTGCCCATTTCAGTTGCTGCAGCAGTTAACAATAGGTATGCTCTACAAACTACAGCAAACTAAACAAGGCAGTTAGCATCAAAGTTTCTTTTCCTAGCCTTCGACTTGTGATTTCACTCATTTCTCTTTTCTAGCCAATGATTCTCCCTTGTACTCACTCCCAGCAGTGACTACGAAACCCGCTCCAACCTAGAAAGAAGCATAACAAAACAGTGCTGCAATGAACCATGAAATTCTCCGCTAGCAAGTGGAGTTGTATGGGTGTGAGCAAGAGAGAGGAAGAAAGAATTACCTGGCAATCTCTCAATGAAACTCGCTCTTGAAGCTGTACATTGCTGCAAATCACGGAGCCTTGTATTGAACAACCATCAGCAATTGTTACGTGATTCATTACAACTGAATTGACAATCTGTAGATGCATGAAAACAAATTCTAGAAATAAGTGAAACAAATATCCAAGCTTGGAGTTCATATACTTTACAAACTTCGCAAATGACAAAGCTAATATTAGCCCAAGGAATTATACATATACAGATGGCATCAGATTCTCAGATTCACTTTTCAAATATACTTAGTACCCTTCTATTGACAAATAAATGTACCTTTACATTGGAACCTATCCGGCAGTGACGCCCAATAACAGATCTTTTCACACTGCATTTATCACCCATTTGTGAACCCTCTCCCAGCATACAATGAGGTCCAACCTACAACCATCAGTTAGAGAACTGGCCTTAGATCTAGCACGCATAGCAACCTCCCAATTAAAGCCATTAAAAGGGAAAACAGGTGTTAAAGCATAAAGTAACAGACAGTCATCATCCAAAGCTCCAACCAACTATAAAGTTAAATAAGTTTGTCTACAAAGTCGACTCACAGTAGTTTTTGATCCAAGCTCTGCTGATGGATGTATGATGTTATTATGGGCAGAGAACGAATACCCTGACAGATGATTTGCCTCACCAATCACCTGAAATATTAAAAGAATTAGCACAACTGATCAAACAAAAACTGCACTGACAAGAGAAACTAGATTGTGTCCGAAAAGCAGACCCAAATAAGAACCATAAAAACTCACATCTCGATTGATGTCCATGAATGCTTGTATGGAATTTAACCGCACACAGTACTTGCTATTGCTGGCAATATATGCACCGCATTTATGTGTTCTCCGAACAGAAGCAGAACCATTAGGACCCAATTCATAGGATTCATGAAAGCTTGGGGTAGATGCATTAGCAAGTATTCGAGACACCATTGCTTGGTTGTTCTGGGTACTGACCTTCTCATTTCCATTTTCTTCCACTAGTGGTGCACCTTTTGGTAAAGCCTCTGAATGCTGATGCTCATAAAACAATCATAAAAGACTAAGAGATCTAAGAAAAATTTTGCAGTGAACATCAATGTATTCAGGGGCCTTATTAGACTAACCAGCTGGCTCCGAACAAGATATGGAAGCACATCCTGTTTTAAGCTTTGAAATGCATCCTTTCGATCTAAAACATCTTGCAAAACAGACCTGGTTATATATTAAGGAGGAACTGATTAAAAGATAATCACAATCAATTTGTAAGATAAACTGGGAGCAATTAGAAAAAAAATACCAACCTCTTGAATGCATACATATGAGCATCCATCAGATCAGATCGAATTTCCACCTACATTAAGGATATAACAGAAAAATTAGATTAACAGTCCTTAAGATCAGATCAGATTATTGAACAAGTGGTCTAATTAAAGAGAAATTACAACAATTTTATTTGAGGAATACATACACAAAGACACAAAAAGATAGAGTATATCAATTGCTGAAAGAGTTTTATTAGAAAAAAGATTGATTGATTGCAAAGAAATACCAGGCCAGCTGGACGTAAAATGCTCTTCTGAATTCGAGTACCTTTCTCAATTTCACCTCCTGCCAAGGATTGCAAGATGCTAGATCATATCAAGTAACTCGCAAAAAAAAAAAAAAAAAAAAAAAGGAAAGAAAGAAAAATTTTGTGAATCTAACCTGTTGCTATGTATAACAAAAATTGTTTAGTTGGGTCCAGGCCAATGATGTCATATCGTCCAGGTCTCTTGATTTTATCCTTGCCACCAACAGATCCCGATTCCAAAGGACCACTGACAGGAGCAGAGCAAAGCATTGCAGTCACTACTGCCCCGTGTCGTCTGTGAGCTGCAGCCACTGCACCAGGAGGAACATCAGAAACGAGATCACCACTTACAACCTGCAGGAACACAAGTAAGCTGTAAAGTATAACTCTCTGATATAAGTCAAACACTACAAAGTATCACAATGCTAACCAAAATGTCTTCCGCAGTCAGGTGGTGTGCAATGGCCCTAATTGCACCAGCAGTTCCCACATCCTCTGGGACAGCAGCAACCTGTAATATCAAGCATGCACATTACTAATTAAAATTGAAATGGGATAGCATCCATTGGTTACAACAATTACTATTACTTTTACACATACTATGACATGCCGCGACCTTCAAAAAACATATTAAAGATTTATAGACATGAAAAAGAAGCAATCACAGTCTAAATTAATCATCCAACAAAACAAAAAACCACCCAAATACCTCAACATGAAGACGATCAACATAAGCACTAGATATCCAGCCACCAACAAGAAGTGCTGCATCTTTCCCTTCAACCACCTACACCATAACATTCTAAGCTCATCAGAAACCCTAAGGACTCAATAAAAAGCACAAACACAACAAAAACAAAACAATTCTTCTCAAATTATCACTCCAGCAATGCAGAAACTTAACAAAAGGAGAAAAGTGAACAACTATGGATAGGAATCTTACTAATATTCGAAAAAAAAAAAAGAAAAGAGCTAGGATTAGATCTTTGAGGTACAAAATAGAAACGAAAAGAACGATCGATTGAAGAGTGGAAAGGGAAGGAGGCGTACAACAATGAGATCCTTAAGGTTATTTTGCTCCAAGTGCTCCAAAACGTAAGAGATAACCGGACGGTTTGCTACCGGAAGCAGTGCCGTCGGCACCTCCTGCATTCAAAAGTGTAAAATAATAATTGAGCGAGATTGTAGAAATGGATTGAACCCGAAAACTGTGAACAAGGAAGAGCCAGAGGAAGGACCTTGGAGACTAGGGGAACGAGATTCTTCGACATGCCGCCGGCTAGAACCACCACCTGGAAATCCATCGGAATTGAAAACAGAGGAAAAAGTAGGAAAAAGAATGGGGTTTTCGGTGGGGTTTTGGTGTTGAAACTGTTGTTCTCCGTGAATTGGTCACAAAAGTAATTTCACAAATACTACTCGTTTTATGACCGCACCGCAAGATAATACCTTAATAACAAATATAGTGTTTTTTTATTTTGTATCCTAAATGCACAAAATAAAAAAGTATTTATTATTTTTTTATTATAAATGTATAAAAAAATAAAAATTTATATTAATTTCAATATCAAATAAATTTAATTAAATGCACTTGGGTAGAAAGTCCCAATCGCCTCAAGTCACCGCACCGCAAGATAATACCTTAATAACAAATATATAGTGTTTTTTTATTTTGTATTCTAAATGCACAAAATAAAAAAGTCTTTATTATTTTTTTATTATAAATGTATAAAAAAATAAAAATTTATATTAACTTCAATATCAAATAAATTTAATTAAATGCACTTGGGCACAAGCTCCCAATGACCTCAAGTCACTCATAAAGTGCATCTTTTTTTTTTAAGTGACGGTTCAGATATGATTTTTTATAAATTTGTTTAAAAAAA